ACATCTACAAAGCCTGCTGCAACATTCAGACCTAGTTTTCTGCTAGCCTATCTATAAGACTCCAATTATAATGTGACTAAAAATACGAAACATAGCAGTCTTTCCAATAAAAAAAGCTATTTTACAATCCCACTCTTCCCCCAGGTGGTGTGGCTGCATATATTAAAGGGAACAGCTATTTTGCAAAACCAACCAATCAATACAGATGTATGCTATAACTCTGAATGACACTGAGGTCAATGCAAAACACATTTCCCCCCTTCTCTTCCATGGAAGTATAGTTATATAATTTTTTTTTTAAATATTTAATTACTCTGAACTCACTTTTCTACATTGATTATGTTGCTGTGCCCCTTTAAGGCAGAGCGCGCTTACAGGAGACTGCAACCAGCCACCATTTGACGGGCTAGAGTCATTCTCAGCTGGCCAGCTTTACTGTGTTACCCAAATAACCTTCCAAAGTAACTATCATTTGCATTCAGAATAACCATGGGACTAGAGAACACTGAGAGACAGAAAAAAAAAAAAAAGATTCTCCAAAAGAAACAGTCATGCTTTGAGAATAACCCGCTTTCTGAACTAAGACACATTTCTGAAATTTGCACAGAGACCTTTTTCAGACACCAGTTTTCTAAGAGCTGAAATAAACTCACTCCTACCCCTCAGACTCTTCAATGCTCAGAAAGGACGAGAACACACACAAAGAGAGCCCATATGACATACCGCAAACATTACCCCAGTCTAAGAAGTTGGTCAAATTCGTGGAGACTTGGCACTGAAGACCAATTTTATTACTTATCTCCATTTTGGAGCTGTTCTTCCATGGTTACCTGTCAGCACAGTTGCCTTTCTGAAGCAATGCACTATTGCACACGGTGAGGCAGCATCTTCTGTTCCACCAGCTGCTGTAGCAGCGACACGGTCCCCCGAAGGCTGGCCCTCGTGAACACACACCCTGGAGCACTGCAGGACTTTAGCTCCTGTGCAGACCCTTGCTGTAACCCCTGAAGACTCTCTTCTCAGTAGGAAGAGGATCAAAAATACATCAGTAGCTGGCTATTTTCCCTCCTTTCTCATGGGTATCAGCACGATGCCATGTATTCAGTGTCACTTGCTTCAGGGCTTGCAAGAGTTTAACCTGCTGTTTTCAAGGGCTGGTGCTTACAAAGTGGAGGATCGAGCCACAGGGCTCGGAAATACTCTGCTCACCTTGTTCACCCTCCTCTCCTGCTTCAGTTTTATGGTACAGAGTCTCCTTCCCCAACATCCAGCTCCTAACCATGCACGCCACCAAGCGAAGACTGGATCTGAAGCTTACCTGATCTTTCTCAGGCTTGTCAGAGATGTCATTCAGACTGGTGGAAGTCAGGTTTCTGTGAGTCATGGCTGGGCTGCCTGTAAGAACAATGTTGACACCAATTAAAGCATCTGTTTAGATCCAATCAGAAGAACACAGAGGCTCAGGCTACAGCAACACCCTTCCTCACACAAGGGAGGTTGATGTGGGCAATTTAAGACCCTGCTAGGCTGCTTTCTGCGACTTATCGTGGCACATGAGATACTAAGATGCTAACCCTTCGTCATCTCTGACCCACAGCATTCCCGTGACTCTTAGGACAGCAAAAGAGTCCAAGGAATTTCCATCATTCCTGCCTGCAGGAGAAAAAGCAAAGCAGCAACAAGCTGCTGACCTTGACGCTGCTGGGTCACCCAGGACCCAGTCATAAACCCATCCCTCAACAGGGCCTGGACCCTCATGGTCACTCTGACCTGCAAACCCCTCGCCTTAGCTCTCCTAAGTAGATGGTGTCTGCCCTACACTCCTCAGCATCCCAGACTTTGGTATGCAACTCAAGCAGCGAGGGAGGCTGGCAGCTCTTGGTCCTTCAAGACAGCCAATAATAAAAATCTACCTTTCTTCAAGCAAGCTCATTAATTAAGCTCATGAACTTTAAGAATTTTACTGATTAAAACGTGTGCATCACATTGATAGGCCAAAATTCACCTATTCCTGACACCAAATACCCCAGGGAGATGAAGAAAACCCCCAGAGACAAAGAGCTGAAGCAGTTCACCTCCACTTCCTTTTCAAAGACTAACTTCTCGTCTGTAAACCTGACACTCTGGCACTCAAACACTGCAAAACAGTTAGTAAGGAGCTGCTTGGTCCCTTATGGACTACTTATACTACTTATTCTTGTGTTCTAGCAGAACATGTGGAAATAGTTCTAAAGAACTTGGAAAAAAGCCCCATGATTTCAGAATTCAGTTCTACCATCCCACTAAAAGCATTTGTAGTTAAAACTGAAGAAACCCAGAAATAGCCATAATGGTAAAAGAATAAATGTAATTTAATTTAAGGAAAAAAATAAAAGAGACTTCTGGGATGGATATAGTATCATAAACCACAGTAGTCAGCATGCATTTTTTTAGTTATTCTGAAATTTTCCCATCCCTTCTCACCCATGCTCACAGGAACCAGAAGCATAGCAACAGGAGCTGTGGTCATACAGTTTGTGACCATGAACATAACTGGAAAGACAGAAAACACTCGAAAAGAAATGGCACTGAGGCATTTCCCAACTTAGGCTGTTTTGAGACAATATTGGTTAAACCTATGCTTTGATATTCAAATCAAAATGAAAGTCCAAGTTTTCAGTGTTCATCAGTTCCCAGTGCAAACAAGCTCTGTAATAAATCAGCATACCAAGGGGGGAAAAAAAAAACCCACAAAAAAAACCGAAGTGGGAAGAAAAAGATCTGGACTCCCACAACTGAGTTTTCTTTACAACATGCTCAAGAGAATAGATGGAGACAGACTTACAGCATTCTTTCTTATGAGCCACCTCAAATCACAATATACCTGCTGTGTGTTATTACCACATCCAGGAACGTCAACACAGCAGAAGCTAAGCACAGTAAGATAAATTCGACATTATAAAAAGGGGATCCCCAGCTTTTCCTCTTCCTTCTGTTATTGCAAGCCAGATTTAAGTCCCCACCTATCTCTAGAAAGTTTTTACAAATATATTTACTCATAGAGTGAGAAATGCCACTTGGAAGACTGGTTTAACCTATATATATTAGTAACCATTCTCCTAATTATTAGCAAGCCAGACTTAGGAATGTCTACAAATTTTGACTGAATGTTTGATATGAATCAGTAGGTAGGAGATAAACACATAAATGAAACAGGAAAAAAGTGATCAAACTTGCTCACATATGTTGTGTCTGTTACATGGTGTAGACATTACTTTGTTCATAACACCTTCTGTGATATGAATATTTAATAAATACTTTATTTGGTAAAAAGAAAACCTGGACAAAAAAACCCCAAAATAAACCCAGGTTATTGTAATCCTGAAGCCCATTCTTGAAACCCAGGGCTCCTTTTTCTTGTATGGTGCAATTAATTATCTCTTAAAGATTGCACAGACACTGTCAATTCTGGAAAATCTTTGATAAGTATGTAACATACCCATAAATTAAAATGAAAGATTGAAGTTCAATGCAGAGATACACATAGCTGCTTTGCAAAACTGAGTCAATAATACCAAATAAGAATCAGAGAAGCACTTTCTTTAAAATGCAAAGCTTGTTCACAGTGATAATTGGTGTCACGCAGTTCAGTGAGTCAAAGCAAAGCTTCTATCAGTTTCTATCACCTGAATGCTAAGGAGTGAGAGAAACTGAACAAGAAAGTCTTCGGCAGAGTGAAACAGATCTGGAGAAGTTCAAAGACCCGCAGAGATTGGAATACTGGTGGGTCGCTCTCAGAGCTGGGTATCCCCCACTGTCCACCTGCCCAAGGCCAGTTCATGGGCTGGGGAGAGCTGCTGTTCTCCTCTGGATGGGGAGGCAGCATTGCAGAGATTGACTTCCTCTTGTTCAAGCCTTACCGTGAGACCTCCGAGTCCTGGCATGGCTAACAACTCCAACTGAGAAGCAACTAAGTATGGCTTCCAAAAAGCTTTGAGCAAGCGCAGAAGCAGAGTGCTTTCATGGTTTTCCAAATTTCTAGGTCCAGTTCCGGAGTAAACAGACTAAAATCAGGGCCTACAGCTTTCATAGCTGATATTTTTCCAGATTATGTTTGTTTGTTTTGCTTATTAGATGTCCAAGGCTGAAAGTTTCTTCGGAGATAACTACCCTTCTTTCTAGAGGAAGCAGGTAATGACTTCATCGCCTCTTGCTAGCAGCCTCTTTCTCCCAACACGATGAACACAACCACATCAAACTCACAGCAGCGCTTCTCAAGGTATCCCATATTTATTCCAGACCTGGATAGACCCATGTGACAAAACACCTGTCTGCCTGTTCCAGCTTTACCTCTTGATTTAATAAATACCACACTTCCCTACAAATATGACCTTGACTATACTCTAAAACCATCACAGCTACAGCAGCACTACTACTACAAGGCTGAACAAGGATAAGTGCATGGAGCCTACAAATAAGGGACAGCAGACAAAACTGCACAACAAGAAGCATGAACCTCTGGGCAGGGGGCTCTCAGGAAACTCCTTTTGTCCCAGTTCGAGGGCTTTGGATGAGGAATGTCGCCCTCCTGCCCATAAATTCCTCACTGGCAATTCAGCACTGCTCTGACATTTTTTCTAAAGAAACTGCTTGTGTGATAGCACTCCTACTTCAGTCAGTGACAGAGCTCCTACCAGGAAGGAGGACCTGAGCCTGAGAAGCAAGTAAGCCTGCACCTGCACTCGTTTCCAAGTTATCCCCACAAAGAGCAGTGAGTACCTTAGCCATAGCTCCAACTTCTTGGCACAACACACAGACCTTACTCACTCCCTTTTTCTGTCATCAGACTGGCCTTGTATTAAGAGGTCTGAGCACCAAAACTTTACAATGTACTCTTTGTTCTTCACAGGCAGAAAGTGTCTCATGATCTCAATTTAAGTAGGGCTCTCACAGGCTAAGACGATTCGTATCTCCATCTCCTTGCAAGAAACTTTACACTTAATGCTGACAGCCAAAACCTTGTGAGCACGTAACACGACTGTTCTCCCCTAAAGTTAGGTGTCTGTGCATGTAGTCTTTTGAAGATGCCTTACAAGGTCCTCAAGTTCAGACTAGTCCCACTGTACTGACTCTGACAATCTCTTGAACATGTACTGGAAACCGTAAGCTTCACCTTTTACAAGCTTTGCTGATCGAAGGAACTTGACGGTATCGAAGCCTGCATTTAGAAGTTTTCCCCAAATCCTTTAACTTATCTTGACTGCCAGGCAAAGTCACTACCAGAAAAATGCTCCTAGAAGTGCAAGATGCAACATGAGCAATGTTGTCTCAAAAGCCATTTGGCTTTGTGGACATCGTGGCCCAAATCTGCACAGCCTAAATCCCTTCTGACTCAGGCTCCTAATGAGTGTGCACCTTTGAAGACCCAAAGACAGGAAAGGCATGTCTAATACTCATTTTTTAATGTTTGTATAACAAGCCTGCTCATAAGAGCGACTCTCTGCAGCAGACTCAACCATCTGGAGGTTACAGTGACACAAGGTAATCTCAGCCTCTGGGGTAAGCCTAGCAATACCAATTCTGAGAAAGATCTTAAAGAGGGGAAAAAAAACAACCTTCAAAACTTGGGAGTCTTTGGGTAAGCAGCTTCTCTGAATTGAGAGGAAATACGGGAGCAGAGGGAAGCAACAAGCCTCTCAGCCTACACGCTCTCAGAGCTTTGAACAAACCAGCGAAGTAAAAGGTTTCTGCTGCCGAGAACTCAGCCAAAGACTTCAGCACACAATGTTCACCCTTTATGCAGTTTGGTAACTAAGGATAATTTCCTGATTCAGGCCTAATTTACATTACTGGCTCTCTGGCAAAGGCAATGCGAGCCTCTCCTTGGCTGTGCTCAGTCAAGTACTGGTGCAAGGAGTAAGGCAGGCAGTCCAAACCCCTCCATGTTATTATCTCATTCTATTAATAGACTCGATAGTCATCTTTAACGGTGAATATCCTGGAATTCAGATTTCTGTAGATTGCTATGGCCTATAAAGAACATCTCTATGCCATCAGTGCAATAAGCTGTGCCTTCCTGGGGGAACAGCACGCTCCTGTGCTGTGACCAGCAAGGGTCCTGATGAGTAATGTTTTACAAAGGACAATCAGAGACAAGTGGGGCCTGAGAAAAGTCCAGCTCACTACTGAGCGATAAAGCTGGTGGCGCCTGCTAGCTGTGTGACAAAGGGAACTTATTTTTGTATTTAATTTATATGGAAATTAAAATATTTAAGCTCATTGCATTTATAATAATGCACTGGTGGCAAAATTCACAAAGCCCTTTTAAGAGCCAACGCGTACTGCAATAGGTGAAAGAAATGTCACTAGATGGCTTAGGAGGGAGATCACCACCCCCAAGGTGGGGGCAGGCTGAC